CATCTCGTCAGAAACCTTGCGGACTGATGAGCTTCTTGCTGCACAACTTCCATGCGGTCTGCCTTGGGGATGTGCTGGTCATCGAAGACTTCAAGGTTAATGTACTCTAACGTGAAACCCAGTGTCACGGGTTCGGTAAATAAAGCTAGTCGGGCTAGCTGTTGAACGTTATTCTCTGGAAAGAAAAGGAGGTGATTGTTTACTTTGCCAAAAAATATATATTTTTTCACAAAACAAAAAAAAAAACAGGAAAAGGCGAATGCTAAGATCAGCAAAAGGTAACCTAACAACCATTGGCAGTTCTCGTTAATGAGGGGAAACATCTACGAGTCTAAACAGTCTCTCGAGTTCTTGAGTTGGAGTCCAGACGTGCAAAGAGATTGATACAGCTCACCAGCGGTTAACGCCCTTCAACAGTCCAGCGGTGAAGCTGCTGTGGTGGGAGTGCATAAGCTCGGGCCCGTAGCCCGAGGGCTCGCTCCCGGTAGACGACGTCATCTGCGGTGCTGTCTTCAGCTCGAACACCAGAACCAGGTCGTGCCAGGAACTAGCTAATAGCCTCAGTGGTGGTTGAATGGTCACCAGGACCCCGCGACTGTCGTCGCCGGCTAGGTGGATGCCTCGACGCCTCGGTAGCTGCACTCGATGAGCTCACATGCTGCACTCTAGCCGCATTCTTCCGAACACCCGCGCAACTCTTCTTCTTCCTTTTCTTCGATGCCGTGGCTCTGGACTTTATTCTTTTTTGTCCGTGACGCACCCTTTTTTTTTAAAGACGCGCACATCAAACACGCACTCCACTTATCACACCCAGTGGCTTGTCACGTTTCTCGATGCCAAACTTGGACTTCGCCTCTTGTCAGAAATCGCGCAGTCCAGTATTCATAACATTTCTTTCATACTGTGGTTAATGCATTACTGTCAACTCAAGCAGAATAGACTACATTTAGTATGTTCCTAAACATCCTAGCCTTACTTCATAGAGCAGCCCGATGTGTTGCTATCGCATTCATTGCTTCGACATTGTGCCGAAACTGACTTTTTTACAAACTTTTGTAACTATGGCACCAGAAGTTAAAGTTGTGGCCAAATAGGTTGTATACATAAGCTGTGGGAAATTTCTCCAAATTTTTTTTTTGCATGAACGGACAAGAAAGAACTGTCGCAAATAAAGTTCTGTACTTTGAAATCGCTGAGTGCGATAATGTCACAAACTTTCCACACTTTTCATCACTTTTTGCTTGATAGAACTTGAAATCATCAGGGTTGGGGATGAATCGTCTTTGTGGGGCGCAAGCTTTTGACAGCTCTTTATTGTATATGAAGTTCGTGTATGTATCAACCTACAACTTTTGCATTGTGACAGCTGCTCCTTCGACCGAATTTCGAAGCCTGGTTGTAACTTCGCGGGGGCATGTGCCAAAATTTTCACTGTGTAAACAATATTTGTTCTATTTGGCAGGCATATTGCTAGCTGAAACTTGCAGAGCTACTTCCATTTCTAGAGTCCTTGGTCCAGACAAAATGAGGCATAAGTTGTGGTTCTTCACTTAGTGTCAGCAGATTTCAATATTTTTGTGCATATCAAGTCTCTAAATGGAAGTGAGAAACTCCTACAGTCACGTTATAGACCATAGATTTCATGCTGATTTGGAAAACACTGTTATTTTTTTTTTACTGGCACTGTATTATCTCCAACGAACAGATGGAAATCGACCTGGAACACATTCTGTGTTAGCTGGAAGTCTGGCTGAAAATTCATTTTTCGTTGAAATTTCTTTTTTCCATATGTGTGGGCAGCCTTTCACTGTTCTCGCTATAAGAGTTGTGATATCATTGTTTACTAATGTTTTCTGTCAGTCATGTTAGCACATAGTGATGTTTAGGCGCTTGCAGCATTCCGTTAGGCATAGAATTCTTTAGAGCGCCAAGCACTGCGCCTTGTTGTGCTGAGCTGATTGTTATCACTGCAGTCTATTTTTCATCATCGACACTGCTTCACATGACTTATCTGCATGCCTGCAGAGGTTATGAAAAATGTCTGTATAAAATATCACAAGTGCTTGAAATAACTCAGCTATTCGAATCATGTATATAATGTTGTGTCAGTACATTGCTGATTGCATTCATGTCAATAATAATCTTGAGATAGCTTCTAATGAAAAGTTATTTGTTTTTATAATCTAATTTACTGTTTCTTGCCTTCCTCCTTAATTTTTTATACAATCTGTATAGTCTTTATGCTCACGTCAAGTGTACTAGTCAAGTTATACAATCTGTATAGTCTTTATGTGCACGCTATTTTGTAGGCAATCAACATGCTGCGAAAATCTCAAAAATCGGTGTTTCTTACCAAGGCTTCGTAAATTTGACCATTGCCATTCATGCAGGGTAGTGAACGCTCATCCGGTGTGTTTTTAATGTATGGGCTTCTGAAGTAATATAGTGTGATCGCTAAACACCTGTGGTACTTTTTTCAAGGGTATGATCTAGAAGGCTTATGTTGATTAATATATACATTGTGTTTTTGTGTTGTATTTATTAATGAAATCACGCTGACTAGCCGAGAGTAATGTAGCCAAGGGTGATAAGCCAATTCATGTAGTGGAACTGCTGTCAGATGCGACAGTCCAGCATCCAAGTTTACTCTAAATGTCTGATATATGTCTTGGCAGACTACACATGGCCTACCATACCATCATTTTCATTGCATAATCACACGATCTTGCTTTCGTCATGTAATTATGCAATGAAATAAGGCAACAACACACGTAGTGAATTTGTCAAAACGTTTCTTTTTCTTGTACTTTGCAGATGCAAAAAAAAAGTGGGGAGGGGAGCGGGTTGAACAAGGTGAAAATGCCATATATGTATATACACTGAAAAGCATTGCAGTATGTACATACAAATGAAAATGACAACAGACATGATGAATGAATGAATGAACAGTGTTACAGTCTCTTAACACTTGCAAACATCTATGTACACGAGATCATTCAATTTGTGTGTGTGGTGTGTGCGAGATCTTCATGGACTTGGGGTATTGGAGATCTGTATTCATGTGACACAAGTTGTGCAGAGCAAAGGGCATATACATGAAAGAGAATTGTTTGTGAATATGCTGTACAAAAGATCTGTGGATCATGATGGCGTTGTGTGGAAAAAAAAAAGAGAAATCCAAAATAAAAATGCATTATAATTTTTTCAGTAACTGTTTGCTTCTGCTTGTTGCACAAGTGAAGGGGCTCAATCTGCGTCTGTTTGTAGGTAGATTCTGCATTGCTTTTGTTACGTCACACATGTGGGCTTCTGCCCAAGGTGCCCTTATTAAAGCATGTGGCTCATTATCAGGCCCGTAGCCGAAATTTCAGGGTTGGGGGGGGGGCACTTGCTGAAGATCTTAACAATTAAAAAAATCAATTTTAATTACTCATTTTCAGTTGAACACCCCTTCCATAAATTTCAAGGACTAGGGCCTAGCATTTTCCCTGGCTATTAGTAAGTGAGCTTCAAAGCACATGACTAGTAAGTGAGCTTCACTTACTAGTAAGTGAGCTTCAAAGCACATGAGCTTGTCTTGCAAACAGTTTCACCATCTGCTAGGTGCTGTTGCCTCTGGAAATGAGTATCAGTGGTATGTTGTGCAAGAATGTGAACTACTAAAATTTCTAGAGACCAATTTCATGACCTTTATCACTATGTTGGTAATGCCACCAACAATTCTAGTGGTACTGGCATTTGATAGCAGTAAAAAAAATTTTTGAAAGTTTCATAAAAAATTTTTTGCTTACTTTTAAAGTTCCCATGAATGTACAAGACCCATGGATCTTTTAGTGGAACAACAAAAGCAAAATGTTTGTTGACAAAGCATACGGCACAGCTTGAAGGTTGCCTTGCTTAAACCAACGTAGAGTAGGTAAGTATTGACTGCAAGTTTCATGATCCTAGGAGAGCAGGTGTGCATGGATTTCGAACATGGTGAGATGAGCAACATCATGCAGAAGCTGCTACATTTTTTTGCCGGCTGCAGCACACAGTGGCCATTAATAATGTACTGTTCCACAACTACATAGGCTGCTTGCAATGCAGTTGTCATTAGTAATATATCAAGCATAGTGTAGACGTATACAAGAACACATATCCAAGGATATGCAATGCATGTAGCACAGTCGTGTGATTTTACGACCACGGGCTCTAGTAGTTTATCTGAAGTGTGGGGGCGACGTTTGTGGGCAGGGATTTATATATATATATATATATAGGGGCGTTCATATATATCTGTTTTTGCCAAGGCGAGAAAAAGAGGGGAGGGGTTGTAGCAGCTGTTAGTGGGGGGCACGCCTCCCCCTGGTTTCTAACCTGTGGGAGCGACAGCCCCTATTGACACCCCCCCCACCCCCCCCCGATTCCGGACCTCCTGGTTACGACCAACCACAGTATGGCAGAAACATTCTCAGCACTTCAGTATTCCGGTATACCCCTACATTTTGCTAATTTTATGTGGTGAGGTATTTAGCAGAAAAATGCTATTGCCTGCGATTGACTAGCTGACGATTGTATGTCGCTGGCTGAAATGTGCAGCTCTCGGGCGTGTGGAGATGGCATGTCTGTGAAATGCAGCTGGGGAATGAATAGGATGAACACATGTAGTTGGTGGTTAGTGGACTTCACAATGAAGGTGGTTTGTTTCTGACTTTACCAAGTTTGCTGACTTCCATCTTTGTGAGTGACTAATATATGTGACTGAATACCATGCTTCTTTATGTACAAAGTACGCCGATTGCAGTGTATGTATTCTGGCTTACATACCGTATGTCATTGCACTTGTAATTTACCAATAGACTTGATAGCGTCACTTTTATGTTAGAGAATTGAATGATCTGCTTGTTTTTTCAGTTTGTACGCAAGGTGTAGCGAGTGACATGAAAATCTTAAAGAACCCCAGGTGGTCGAATTTTCTGGAGCCCTCCAGTACAGCCAATCTCGTAATCATATGGTGATTTTGGGACGCTAAGCTCCACAAATGGAATCACATGAATTGCGTCTGCTCTTGCTCGAAATTTAAAATTGCATGTCGGCTGCATGCGTCAGAAGACTAGAAACCTCTTCTGTTGGCTTCTCTTAGTGCATAGTGATGATTTGTGTCACATTGAAAAGAAAAAAAAAATCTCTAATGCAATTGATTAAATGGTGATATGACTTGGCGTGCCTTCTGCATTCTGAAGCCTGACACTGTGGACGGCAGCTGCGAACGTTGCAGGCTGTGTGAAGAGTGCTGCTTTTACGAACAATTATTACGCCTGGTCTCGATCCCGTGAATATATGACCGTACGGCACATAGTCATGTAAGCTCGGTCTAAGTGAAGGCGGTATGCCTCGTGCCACTGCGAAAGCGGTCTGTACACGTGAGAACTCTAACAATTGTGTGGCTGATGAATCGAGCTCTCACAAAAACGAGGTAGTTCTTCACTGCACACTGCATGCACACTGCATCCTTCTCGCTGCCCGCAGTGGGTGCAGCCTTTCTCAGGTCACCGGTAGGGCTTCATCAACTTGCACTACAGCCTTTTGGAGGTTCTGTATGTGTAACGCGCCCTTACAATAATATAGTTGGCTATCACTGAGCATCAACATAAACCTAGAGAAGCACGTGTGACACTGCTCACAGACTTGCGTGGATGCAAAAGGTCAGTACGTCCTCGCTTCGCACCGTCGTTGGCGTAGGAACAGGAGTGGCCAGAAAACAGTCAACTCGTGCGAAGGAGCACCGTCGGTGGGCCATAGTGAGGTTGACCCAGCGTTCAAATCAGCCGAGTCCGCTGCAGAGCTATTGGGCTCTCGCAAACACACTGGTCGCGGTGGTATCGGTGGCGGTTGTTTTCCTGGGCGTGATCTTGACCCGGAAAGGTCGGGGTGTATGCGACACTGCCACGTGACCGTCCATGGAGGGCGGCTGCTCGCCTTCGGGCAGCTCAAGCGTGTAACGCTGCAGCAGGTTGCTGAGGAAGAGGAACACCTCGGTCTGCGTCAAGTGGTTGCCCAGGCACATGCGTCGACCTGCGCGACACGAATACGCTGGAAGTCAGCCGAGAACGAAATAACTTGCCTTTTCTTTATTCGAGTAAATCAAGTGCAAGTGTAGGACTATTTGAATAGAACTGCATTACTTCATTTAGAGCACTCACTGTAGCAATGCCATCTCAGCAGTGGCAACTAATTTAATGACTATATGAGAACTCTGGTTGCGAAAGCTGTTCAACACACGCGGAAATTAGGCATACATTTCTGCAGTGGCAGTACTTTCGCCTGTCTTCGGGCATCGACGCAAAGCAGCCAGAGTACTATTATCGAAAGTCAATGCAACGTTGGCAGTGCTTATGACTTAGTTTTACTAAAATCGAAACGAAGCGGTTGACCTCGCATGATTGAAATCTGCCTAATTTAAATCGGCTGCTAGCTTTATATACAATTCAAAAAAGCTATATCACGTAAGGAATACTGTAGACCAGCAATCTAAATCAATTTTAATAATGCGAGGGAGCAAATGTTTGCATATTTTATGCCCATTAAAGTGCCGCCGCCATGGTCGGCAAAAAACTGATGTTGCGCAGCGCAATTTGCCACAATTCCCAAGCTATTGTAGAGAATATTCCGGTGGCTGAAATTCATGTACATCAAAGGTGTAATAAGCACTACTTTAAAGATGATAGTCTTTCTTGGGATACTTGAATGCGGAAATTTTGGTCTGTCTGTCTGGCTTTGTCTGTCAAAATATTCAGCCACCTGGTGAAAGTTTAAGCATTTCTTCAATGCTCAGCCATATTAATCTGGTGGCTGCGTCCATACTTCTGAGCATTGTCGATCAAAAAGCAAACATTATGCATAATTGAGGCGCAACATCAATACGTAAGCAATAGGTGGTGTGTTTCATTGCTAGAAAATACATAAATTGGTAATCCTAAAGACACTAGTGTTTTTTACGCTGCGATGAGAATGTGGCGCTATGCAGGAAAAAAAACGGGAGTTTCTTGCACTTCGCTGAAGTGTCTTACTTTGCATGAAAAAGCGTTCTGCCGACAAGATGCTGCTGCCTGCTGCTGAACCTGCCTTCTGTACAAGTCTTTGTTTCCTGACATTGCTGCCGGATGGTGTCCATATCTCGCACAGTGCCTTGAAAAAGATGACTATAGTCTTTCGACGACATTTGCTGCCAAGCACGCAGATACGCGTTCATTTTTTAGTACGGCGGACTTTTTTTTTTGCATTGGGAAGTAGAATTTAGCAGCGAACTTCACAAAATTACGCTATTCAGTCTCAATGAATCGCGGAAGCATATCTGCATGTATCATTACTAAACTAATGCTTTCAATTAGCTTGATAGGAATCGTTGGTTCTTGAACCAGACCTATGATCCAGTCATCCATATCCTAAAATATAAGTAATTTTCGAATCCCCAGGATACTCATTTTACAAATTAGTGCTGAAGGATTAAAAGCTGCCAGCGTTTCAGCAGAATTTGTTGGTGGGATATAAATAACCATCATGACCATCACCCTGACCACGTCCACTGCAGGACAAAGGCCTCTCCCATGTTCCGCGAGTCAACTCGGTCGTGTGCTTGCGGCTGCCAATTTATACCCGCAAACTTCTTAATCTCATCTTCCCACCTAACCTTCTGTCTCCCCCTAACCCGCTTGCCTTCTGTAGGAATCCACTTAGGTACCCTTAATGATCAGCGGTTATCCTGTCTATGTGCTACATGCCCGGCCCATACCGATTTTCTCTTCTTGATTTCAACTATGATATCCTTAATTCCGGTTTGTTCCCTAATCCACTCTGCTTTCTTCTTGTCTCTTAAGGATACACCCACCATTTTCCTTTCCATTGCTCGCTGAGTCATTCTCAATTTAAGCTGAATCCTCTTTGTAAGTCTCCATAGTTTCTGGGGTATAAATAATGCCTATATTAAGGCGTGAATCGGCAGACTTGATAGGGAAAATCTTTGTGGAAGCCTGCAAGGTCAATCAAGCGAGGATCATGGGAAGAGAAACAAATTAGCGTCTGTGTTTTTGTAGCACAAAGCTGCAAAAGAAGGACAGATTCCTCAGAAGAAGCTTCATAAAGTTAAAAAAAAAAGAAATCACCGTAGTCCGGGTCTCTGATGTGCGCTGAGGCTTGATCCCGGATCAGACTGAAATTTTCAACTACAGGAATTTTTCTGAAAATTCTGCACCTATGGCTTCTTTTGTGCCTTTGCGCTACAAACGGGCGAAAAGTATTCCCTTTTGTGGCTGATTTGCATGGCAAAAGTACTGTTAAAAACTGGCCGCTGCCCGTAGACGTCCGCAGAAACGTTTTTGTCGATTGTGGTATAATGCCAAGCGACCTAATAAAGCAGATATGATGGTTACGTAGAAGAAATGAAGTAGACGGCACATTGCACCAAGGAAAGAACGCTTATACTTTTATCATATTTTGTCCGTTGTTTGCAACGCTAAGAGTTCGTTCGCTAGATGTCTCGCATAGAAAAAAACTTCTTTTCTTTGTCTTCACCATAGGCATAAGCTGAGTTCCCTTTCAGGGAAAGGGTGCAGAAAGCTCATTTCAACGGCCCCCTTCTCTATTGAATAAATGCGTGGGGAAGACTTTGCGCCTCTTCCCCCTTACGCAAGCCTGTTGCCTTGACTTTGGGAGTACTCAGGTTTTTGTCCATATGTCCTGACCTGAACCCTAGCACTCTTTGAATCTTGACTTATATTCGCCGTGGTCAATGTTACTAGATTACCTCAACGTTACTATAAACTATTCTAGTAACATTGGCTGCGGTAGCGAACTCCCTGTAGCATTGCGCCAGAAGCCGTATAGGCTCGATTGCAACACTGGTCTTCCTATTTACGTGTGGGTGAAATGCAAAAAGGGTTTTATTTTTAGAAGTAGATGCGCGATAAATGAACCGTCACTAGGTGGAAATAATCCGTAGTTCCTCTTCATGGGATCTTTGTGGCACGTGAAGCTCCTTGAATGTTCAAGCAGTGTTCTATCTCATACACGCTGACACCGAAAAGCAGGGGTAACATAACGACTGCCAGAGCACGTTCCAGCTAAGTGTTCCTTTGATAAGAAGCTTCTTAAAAATAAAGCGATTCCCTTCATTCCCTGTCTCAATGAATCCCAGCGAAAGGTAGGTAGGGGCAGAGTTAGGCGCCATTTTTACATGGCGCCTATATTGTGTTAGTTTGGGGCACTGGTCTGATCAGGTGCTGGCAACATGTTTCGCAAGTTCAAAACCTGAAAATAAACGTTCTAGAACTCATGTGTAGCGCAAAGATCCAATCGTACTTATACCAACAGGAGGTGAACGTTTAGCTCGCATTGTGGAAAAGGTTTCGCTTTTTGGTGCTTCGCTCTAATCGAAATGGCCGGAAATTGAACCTGGTGTCATCGTGGTCGGCGGGAGGAAGCCCCGCTATCACTCACACTGAGCTGCCATGGCTGTCATTATAGTTAACCATAACCGGCACAAAGTCCACAAAAAGGGGGCTCACTCACCGACAGAGAAGGGCATGAAGTAGTCTGGCTTGTGGACCCGTCCGTTCACCAGGAAGCGCTCCGGTCTGAATTCTTCGGGGTCTTTCCACAGGTCAGGGTCCATGTGGATGGCCCAGAGGTTAGAGATAACATGAGTGTCCGCCGGAATACGAAAGCCCGCCAGCTCCACGTCACTGAAAAAATAACAAGAAATCGCGTTGTTAACTGGAAGGAATAAACGTACCCGTCTGGTCCAGTCACACATATAAAATATTGCATCATTATTCTTGCTCATTGTGCCTATAATTCTTTCAGAGGAAAGCCTAAACATCGAGGGTGTGTCTGTCTATCTGACAGTTACTCTGTAAAAAGAACTGTTTACAACACGCCAATGTGAGTGCTAATTTAGTGCTTATTACATTAGTAGCTGTTTAGTGGCCGCTTGTACTTGCCATTGCTTTGTCCGGAGCGGCTGGTTTAAAAACTGTTGTTACTTTGCCAGTTGGCTATTTAAAGCATAAACAAAAAGTGTAAACATTCCTTTTGCCTGACAACGAATTAAAAAAGTATTTTGTGCAGTCCAGCTAATTGGTGCAAAAGAACTGTCAACACAACATATGTACTGACCCTCTGACAACATTTTTGAAAGGTTCGCCCTGCAGTGTTTCATTGAATGCACCCCCTACTCCGCCATGTCTGAGAAGTTATTTACTGTTTTGCACTGTGAACGTAACAAATGTGTTCATCTGCTTGTCGGTGTGCGGGCGGCTGAGGCTATTGCTTTGAAATATTTGAGTGTCACTTCATACTCACCAGGTTGTGGCGTGGGCGTTTCCGAGTGCTATGACGTTGGCGCGACGTAGCACCTCGAGGATTGTGGCCTGTGCGTATGGGAGAGCGGGCAGGTCAGCCATGCTGGCGGGCCTATCGCCTTGAGATGCCAAGTGGGTATCCAGCTCCTCCTGCAGGCGCCGTTGGACGTGTGGGTGACGCACCAACAAAAGAATGGACCACTCTAGGGTCGAGGTGACAGTCTCGAGGCCGGCGCTGAAGATGTCCATCAGAACCTGAACCAACTGCTCCTCTGTAAACGAGAAGATGGGAAGAACGGAACGTGTTAGGAGACCAATTAAGGCCTAAATCTCTCGGGAATATGCCAAGTGCACGAATCCTATAATGCTCGGGCCATCTCAATTAGTTGGAGAACTGACACGGAACACCATATACATATCTTGGCCAGTTAAACCAACCTCAACGTAACTGAAGGCCACGTATAACACGCATGTGATGCGTCGCATACTTCGCAAGTACTTCATATACAGGCCATTACTCGATCCTTCATTTATGATAATTATTAATTGTGAGAGGAGAAGGAGGTGAAGTGCAAAGTTGCGCATTCTGCCGCATGAATGCCTTCTCAGAACAGTGTGGAAAGTGCAACCACTACAAGTGCAGTGTTACAGATTTTTCATGCCTTGGAAACTTCAGGCTTGTTCTGTGCGCAGCCCAAAATGAAAATCCTCAATAGGTTCTTGTAACGTGTGTGTGAAACGTGATATCACTGGTGGCGCGTATTAACATTAGCCACCCCCGAAACCGGGCCGCAACCTCGCTCCATAACTTAGGAGTGTGGGAGGACATGAAAATCACGGTGTCAGTATTCTCCTTCAGGTTACACGCGGTGACTCTCGAGGGATATGTAGATCCAATTCCTCACCGGAGAAGTAGGTGTCCTCCCTCTGGATGCCTCTGGCCTTGTCCCTGCGTAGCTGGGCGAGGTATGCGTCCACGATGTCGCGAACGGTGCCATCGACAGTAGGACGACCTGTGCGCGTCGGCGATGCGCCTGAAGTAGTCTGCCGTCTGGTGCCGGTTGCGCTTAATGCGCCGGTAGGCCCAGTTGGAGCCGGGGACATAGCGCAGCGCCGGTATGAAGTTCACGGGCACGGCAAGCGTGAGCAGCCGGAACCCTTCCTCGAAGAGCGCAAGCAGCTGCTCGAACTTGGAGTCGCGCGACGAGTACGTGACGCTCATGAGAAAGGAGCCAAGGATGTTGCTGACGGCGCGCGCGAGAGACCGGCGCACGTGCAGCGAGCTGCCTTCGAATGGACCCAGCGATGACAGGAACTCGCTGATGTGAACCTGCGTGGTTGGGTTTGCACCGGGTCACTCACTTCGGCAAGGACAAGATGGAGTCTCATGCTGAAGCTTCAACAGCTGTAGCATATTGAAAACTTAAAGTGGCTTAGTAAGGGGACCTTCTTCGATGCCAGCTTTCAGCGTTAAGGCCTTACCACACCTATACGCGTTGCAGCGTGGCAGTATAGTGTGTGGCCACAGAACACCGATTTGGTGTGGCTTGGAGACTCAACTTCGCGCCCTCTCCCGATAGATAGAGGGCGCGAAGCTTCGTGTTGCCATGGTATTCTCTAGCCCACGCGCACGCGTGTTCAGGTCTTTAGTCAAGGAGGGACATGTTCGGTGGCAACCGGTGCTGGATAACAGCTCTCTGGTTAATGACGATACCTGTGGTTATCGCTAGATAGCCTAAACTGTGGCTTTTGCCATTCGGAAGAACATTGGTCAAGGTCGTCGGGTTAATGCTCCTTTTCTTTTTTTTTTTTGAAGCGTTGAACATGAACAGCGGTAATAGCAACACACCTGCATTTTCTGTTCAAGTGCCACGCTGCCGGGCCTTCCGTGTCTTGGCACGAAGTCTCTAAACACTCGGTGTAGGAAGGCACGCTGCTCACGCCACAAGGCACCAGCAGAGTTGATGATTCCTGCGGGATACAACGGTGTAATCGCTAAGGTCAGAGTATGAACACACGTGTATTTGCATGTATACAAGACAGAGAATAGAGTTGTAATATATCGTCCGTGTCATTGTCGCAAGCACCTTCGTGGCACGCGATTGACGGCAACATTCCTCCTCGGCCAAACTATTGCCAACATCATTTAAAAGCTGCCTGTAAATCAACTGCAGCACGAATGCTAAACTGTAGCTAATTGCGTAGCAAAGCAATATTATAATTGACACCGAATCGCAGTGGGCAATACCTTTGGAAATATAGGCAGTCGAACTTTTTGAGGTTGATTACGCTGCGACAACATTGCATAGCACAAAACGATGTGATAGCTCAGTTCTGTTTTTAAATTGAAAACGAGCGTTTAAAACGTCTATCGATGCCTTTTTCTCATACCTTATGTAAGTTCATAATTGAAGTTAACGGCATGGGGTATACATTAATAAAAGCCCCAGCTTCAGATCTGACAACCTGTGGGGCAGGTCAAGGTGGTATGTTTAAACTGGCTATATATTTTCTGCTTATTTCTCCTACGAACTGAATGTTATTGGCCTGGGCAGTTTGGATAAGTCAAAAAGTAGATTTGTCGTCAACTTCAGATGTGTGAATAAATACATTTGTTAGAATAACATACTCTCCGATACACCACGTTTTGTAAATCAGTTTATCTGACTGTCCTTGAGCCTAGAAAGGAAGGGATACGGTTCAGAGAACTGTCTGTTACTATAGTAAAGCTGTGAAATGCTCCCTAAAGAATTATTGAAAAGTGTAAAAGATCGCACAGCTTCCTCTGTCTCTTCGGCATTACCAAATAATTATCCCAAAGCTCGATGAAACACAATCGGACAGATGACGCAGCTGTGGTTTCCATGCGGTGAATAAATATAATATAAAGCAGAATTCGACTGGATATTCAATACCCTGCCTTGTGTACTGCTTGATGAACTCGTCAATTATTTCAGCAGCGGTATGGCGGGGTCTGCCAAGTTTCAAAATAATTTTGAAAAGTGACGAATAGGGAGCTAGATATAAAAAAGTGTCTATTTCTGACTGTAAAACCGGTATGCACGAGCACTGATGTGGTCTTCAAACGCTTTGAGCATAGGTGACAATGAAGGAGTGTGACTACTGCAGAGTATGAGAAATCCTTGAACGCGGAAGTGTCGTTGCTGGCGCCATCGTTCCGACAAGTGGTATTGTCTTCTTCAAGGAGGCAAGACGACAGAAAAAGGGCTGTACTCCCGTGTTCAATCTCTTGAAAACGGAAGTGTCACTGGAATTGACGTTTTCGACAAGAACTTCAGGACAGTCCTTTTTTCGTCGCTCGAAGCTTCTGATTTACCCTGACCTGCTGACAAACCGTAAAATTTGTAGCCAAGCTTGCCGCAACACGAACGACAGCACGCTCCACTCGAAACGCTGAGTGGACAGAGGATTGTGTACGTTAGAATTTGTGTTAAATGTATTACTCGTGGGCTTATTCTCTGATGCATTCTTACGCACGTCTCGTAAGGCAGTTTAGAAAGCGTGTGTTAAACGTGCGAAACTTCTAGTTAAAGCGCACCATTGCTAAATGTCATTAAGCGTTATGAAGAGCAGCAGGGGTGCGTTACACTTACATGCATAAACAGTCACTGCTCGTTAGTTTTCAGTGAGGAAAATGCGAATAATGTATATATACTGACACGAACAATATCGTGCACATTTTGAAAATTCCTTGGTCGATTGAAGGGTTCCTCGTGTCAAGGTGAAGTGGTGGAACATTCGAGAGAAACTCGCCTGGCTGGCTGTTCAAAGAAGGTTCTGTAGGTCCTGAATGTAAATTCCCATCGAATAGTGGACTTTAAGGTGGCGAAAGCCGCTACTTGCTTGACCTTCTCAAGCTCGCGACCACGGGAACGACTGCTGGAATCGTATTGTTCGTACCGGTCAAGTACGGCGGCTATTGGGCTTGGTAGCACGTCGTCGCGGCAGCGAGCGCCGGACATTCAGCTGCGTGGACGCGGAAGAACAGTCTGGTTCACGTCTGCTCGACTGGGGCGGCCAGCCACGCCCCCCCGATCGCTCGCCGGCCGCGTCGGCTGTCGCACGCCGCCACCCTCCGAGAAGCCGCCCAACGTGCATGGAACGGTATCGCGCAGAGTGGTGGCATCATCCAGTGGGTCCTCACCGTATCCCTGCAGGAGTTTGGTGAGTTCCGTGTCGGGCCGTCCGGAGAAAGCAGCCTGGCTAAAGGCTTGGCGCACCAGCTTCGGATCGCTGATGACCACGACTCGTTTGGAGCCCAGGAATATCTGGTAGATGGGGCCGTAGGTGACAGCAAGGTCTTGCAGGGTGCGGTGGAACTCCTTGCCCAGGAACGGGAGAAAGCCCACCAGAGGCAACCCCCACGGTCCCGGGGGCAGCGGTAGCTGACTCACGGCTGCGGTCAAGAACCTGCGGCTGACTAGCAGCACGGCGACGAAAACGGCCAGCCATGTGGGCACCGTGACTTCTAACCACGGTGAGAAGAGCAGCAGGGACATGATGACGCGATGCGTGTTTGCCTCGGTCACTACAAACGGCTGCGCGCTCTTTTGCCGCTGCTCTGGGCTGCTTTGACTGCTGCCGCTGATCGGGGGCTTCCGAATGGGGAGGCGGCCCCCTTTTATATAAGCGGGGGACCCCAGTGTCTGAGAGAGGAGGGAAGTCGATGCCCCCCCCCCCCCCCCCTGCCAAGGGGGGTCTCGCCTCCCCGCTGCGCACCGGTCGGCCGCCCGAGTGCCCGCCTTGTTTCCGTTTCTGTGCCGCCGCCTTCCGCCGCAACAAGTGTGCCTTCGAGGTGGGGGCGAGGGAGGCACGCACAGTCGCCGGCCGTTGGCGGTGCGTCCGCGTATGCGCGCGATTCCCTCGGCTGGCTTGTGAGCGCGCGCCTTTTCGTCGCTATCTGATTCTCGCGGCGTTCAATCGGCGGGCGCGTTCGCGTAGGAAGAGGAGGGTGCTCGCATAGGCAGTGGGAGACTCCTCCTGGCAATTTTACTGCGTTTATTATCCTATTCACCTTTCGAATTTTCATTCTCACTCTTTCCTGAGCTTTGTGGAAACTGATAGCAGGAAACTTCGACTCCGAACCTGTGTTAAGTGCCGTGGTACACACGCACCGCAGTGCTTTGCTCTTGGCGTATAACTGTGCGGTGCCATACGTGCTTGTCGTTGTCAGGTGAGGGGAAAGTTCCCTACGTAATAGTACGTGAATAGTGACACGGGCGTTGAAGCACGTGTAATTTGTTTACTGTCGCGATCGCCGAATATCTGGCGTGCTGCGTTCGTGCGCTGCCTTCACGCGCTGTCAGCGACACATATAATACTGTTGTAGGCAGTTATTAGACGCTTCTTCATCACCTGTACATAACCATCATCACATGGCATTCCTCATCCTCATCGTTTGTGGCGATATCTCTTGAGATCGTTCTGTGGCTCGGACGTGACTATTTTGGCCGCGTTGTCCAGGCCTAATAAAGGCGTACAAAGCACGACGTCGCACTGTGAAGAAAGCCAGCGAAATTTTTGAGAAGGTGCATTGAAAGTGAATCTAGCAGGGGTGCCACATTGCTTCACTACTGACACTTACCTGGCATACATATTTGTGAAAGTGTTGTAAATATCGGACACATTCTTCCAATAGGACGGCAATCTTTTAATTGTAGTCCTCGGAATACCGTCCTCGTGTAGTCTTCATCGTGTGCATTCTTGGACGATATCGTTGTCTTCGGGTATAATACACAAAACCAGAGAGAAGCCAGTGGTCCGGCACTTGGTACTCGGTGTCGCATTTTTCAGACCCAAGTGGACGAGCCGATTCTACTCGCCAAAATTGCACTAACGAACACCGTGAGTCTGTGGTCGGGTTCTTATGAATCAATTTTTTTTTTTCCAGAGGCGCGATGTTAGCCCATCTTCTGTTCTCGTTTCCAAGCATGGAACTAGTCTTCACGGTCGAAGGTCATCCTCGGAGATGCTTTCTGTGAATCTGAGCTTGCCATTCCGTGCATCCGCGTTTTCGTGTATACGGACGCTCAAGCAGTTTACCAGTCCTCGCCTCCTGTAGCAAGTGCTCATATGCGGCAGTGTGCGCCTTTGTTCAACACTGCTGGAACGAATGAGTGGCTTGCGCCGCTGTCATTGAGCCGGCGGAAATGACAAAAAGTAACAAACACACAAGTATCAAGCCTCAATCCGTGACACGGGTCAGGAGTGTGTGCTGCATACGGCGTCATTGAAGGGTTGTGGCGGTCATTACCAAAAGCGTTCCGGGCAGTAAGGCGAGCCAAGAGGTAATGTTGCAGTGCTGGTGTCAGCGTGTCACTCTTATGAGGTTCACCCCCTTCCTCTTCCGGCTGTCCGTTTTCTCTTTTATTGTTTTTTTTTCTTACTTGGCGCAGCCGTTACACAGCGGTGGCGGGTTGCTTTGTAGGGCGCGACTCCTAAATACGCTCACTGGAGGCGTTTGTTGCTTGCACCGGTTCCGTGGGGGTGTAGGACGCGTGCATACGTGAGCCTCGTTGCACACTTCCCTGGAAAAGTACCGTGCGGCCAGTGGAAAAGGCATGCCGGCCCCCTGGCTGTCGCTGCTGGGCGAAGCAACCTTGGAGCAGCGGACGCCTCACTTTCGTTCCCGACTGGAGTCGCTGCATCCATTTCCCCCGCGCGTTCATTCGCTCGCCGTTTTTATCATTCGCAGCGTTCGCCTTGGGCGCTTCCTTCCGTAGGCGCGCACGTACAGATGCGAAGTGTAAAAAAAAAAAGACGTTAGAATAAAAAAAAAACTGTTTTTCTTTCGGCGCAGTTGCAAAAATTGGCTAAAATTTTCGCGTGGGAAAACGTACAGGAAAAAAAAAAAAGAAAGCTTAGGCAACACCGAGCGTTAGCAAGCCGTGTGCAAGCGGACTCCGAAATGGTTGAACCGATTTCGGACGTGCGGATGCACTTCGTGGTCGGGGAGATCATTGGCGGGAAACGGGGACTCGCGGTAGCTACGCTTTTCCCAATGAGCTTTTCCCAAGAAGAAAGCTACAGATGAAGGCAGCGACACCGACTCCTAATAAGAATTTCAACTTCATCATCTCACCATCTTGACCAATGTTTTCATTAGTCGAAGCCACGACGAAATAGATTTTTCTTTATTAGAACTGCAGTGACGATTCTAGGAAGCCGCAACCATTCGCAGAGAGCTATACGAGTTCGCGTAGATGTTACCGGCCTGCCTTCGATCTGTTAAATGCCGTATTCATTTGTGAAAAACAAAAAAAGTCATTTTATTTCTGTTATTCACACAATGAAAGTTATCGTTTTTGACATTTGGCAATGAACTATTACTATGCGGCAATAAGCTATTGTTATAGGAAATTTGTTTTTTTTTTACTTTTTTCCTTCGAAAATTTTGCAAAAGTGGTGAAAAAAGAACAAGTTTTCTTTTCGATTGCTTAAAATTTCTGGGAAATTGTACATCTCTACCAACATGACGTTGCGAGGCTATATTGATTCATTCATCCGGGAGAGCCCAAATTTGGGAACTGCAGCTTTACGCCCGGTCTATAGTTACGGGGAAGACGGACGTCGCTGCAACCACTTCTAGTATATATAGCTGCGTGAAATGGAGTCTGCTAGTAAAGACGGACACCCTAATCACAGTCGGGGAATATGGTACAGGCTCTAAATTTGCATCACTGGTATTGGCATGGCTGGACAAAGTGCAAAATTAATTGATCACGAATACTGAATCCTTGAGGATAATCTCGTTATATCTTAGTATAACTTCTGACAAGAAGAGCCGGCTGGTGAAATTCCGGACCTTCTTAATTGTTGCAAGAAAGAGTATCAGAATAAGCCTTAGGGGATTTGGCAATGCTTCTTTTTGTTTTGGTTTTTGTTTTTGCTAGTAGGTTTTATTCGCATATGTCCAATGATTATATCGTGTCGACGCTGCACTGGATTTAGATCATGACAGGACTCCGGTCGAAACGTAGATTAAACCTCTGTTACCTTCTTGCTGTATACTAAAGATTTTCTATTCACATATACAATGAGAAGAAACTTCGCGTATCTTCGAGGAAAACTTTCACACGGGCCGGAACGTAGCCGATGACAGTCTTTAGTAGTGTTCAAGGAGCATAGTCGGGCAAAGTTGTTAGGCAATCGATGCCTGACCATATGGTTCAGACCACATTTCGGTGGTCTTACCTTAGAATTAGGCAATGATTTACCCGTGACGATTAAGGTGTAGTGGGCAGTGTGCTTCGCGTCCACGAAAGACGAGACAGAGAAGCTCGGACATCATGGGTGTGACATCACCTTAGTCACCCGACAAATAAGTGTTTGTTTGTTTTGAGGCTTCATTAATTTCGTGCTTTCAGTACGCCGTACGTCAAAAGGCACCTGCAAAAAAAAAAATACTGTACAGATTTTGTACCACAGGCTGAGAGGTAGCTCGTGGCGATCATATGTAGAGGATGTCAACCGCTCTAAACGACGTGATTGGTGGCCGGCTAGGTGTAGAACCAATTTTCGAAAGCGGTTCGAACTCGTGTAGTAGACTAAAAATCCAAAGAAAATATAGCAGATGTTATTTGTATGAATTATGACGTTAACCTAGAGGAAGGGAGGTGGACAAACGGTAATCTTCTACTGGCAGAGGCAGAACCTCTAACCTAAAATAACGCTTCTGGCGCTGTAAGCATAGAATGTAATATTCCAAGGTCGCAGGTTTGGTCTCTGCCTTCGGCAAGTTATGTTATCTTCCAGTTTACTTTCTTTACATTTGCGTCATATTTAATAGAAAATGACAACCCCTATACTTTTTTTGGATTTATTGTCTGTTAGTTCTAAGTAATGCGCTTAACAATGAAGGCACGAGCCCGTAAGATTTCCCTTATTTCGTAGGTTTCCGTTGGAAACGTGACCTGTAGTTTTTTTAATAAGACGGCGAATGTCCGTACGTCACGATTCGTTGACATCAGCACTTGCGAGCGCTTCTAGCTAGTGAAGAGAGTGTGAGAAAGAGAATGGAAAGATGGGTAGGTTTACCATGCAGGTTGCACCACAGGCTTGTTACCCTATACAGGGGTGGGTGAGTTCTGACTGATGAATGGAATGCGTGATGTGATTTCGCTCTTATGTCAATACGTGCTTGCATCTTCGACGACAATGCAAAATAACTTTACCACTGCAGTGAAGATGAGGAATATTCAGATCCTCACCTCATGACAAATTTCTGAATTTGAATGTACTAAAAATTTGGGCATTGATAATTGGGAACTTGCGGCTTAGTTCAAGTTGTATTAACTCGATATAAGGGTAGACTTATTAATGCAGCGGAGTATATTGAACAAAAAACCAACAACCTCAATAAAGACGGCGTTATGGTCGTCCAAATGTTCTTGCATGGCTTCCGCCGCTGAATGCCGCGGAGATTCTGTAGCTGCTGCTTTCTATACGAGACTGCCGAACTAAAGGACGTTTCTGTTGACCGAAATGCAATCTCCGGCACGGAGTTCAAGGCAGTGCAGTCTTGCAGGTTGCCGCCAACCAATAACGCTGGCATGCTCGCTGTTCGCCATC